ACCCAGAAATCGACCCAAACCACTATGCCCAACTAATATTCGACAAAGGAGGCAAGAGCATACAATGGAGTGAAGATAGTCTCTTCAATAAATGGTGTTGGGAAAATTGGACAGATACATGCAAAAAGATGAAACTAGACCACCAACTCACACCATTCACAAAAATAAACTCAAAATGGATAAAGGACTTAAACCTAAGATGGGAAACCATAAAAATATTAGAGGAATCCACAGGCAGCGAAATCGCAAACATATGCCGAAGAAATTTTTCTCTGATACTGCTCCTAGGGCAATGGAATCTAAAGAGAAAATAAACAAATGGCACTACATCAAAATAAAAAGCTTTTGCACAGCAAAGGAAACTATCAACAAAACAACAAGAAAGCCCACTGCATGGGAGAACATATTTGCCAATGATATCACTGATAAGGGTTTAATCTCCAACATTTACAGGGAACTCATGCAACTTAACAAAAGGAAGATAAACAATCCAATCAAAAAATGGGCCACGGACCTAAATAGACACTTTTTGAAAGAGGACATACAGAAGGCCGAAAGACATATGAAAACATGCTCAAAGTCACTACTTATACGAGAGATGCAAATCAAAACGACAATGCGGTATCATCTCACACCTGTCAGAATGGCTATTATCAACAAATCAACAAACAACAAGTGTTGGAGAGGATGTGGAGAAAAAGGAACCCTTCTGCACTGCTGGTGGGAATGCAGACTGGTGCAGCCACTGTGGAGAACAGTATGGAGTTTCCTCAAAAAATTAAAAATGGACTCCCATTTGACCCTGTGATCCCACTTCTAGGAATATATCCCAAGAAGCCAGAAACACCAATCAGAAAGGATATATGCACCCCTATGTTCATAGCAGCACAATTCACCATAGCTAAGATTTGGAAACAGCATAAGTGCCCATCAGCAGATGAGTGGATTAAAAAACTATGGTACATCTACACAATGGAATACTATGCTGGGGTAAAAAAGAAGGAATTCTTGCCATTTGCAACAGCATGGATGGAACTGGAAAGCATGCTTAGTGAAATAAGCCAGTCAGAGAAAGATAAATACCACATGATCTCACTCATTTGTGGAATATAGAGAACAACATAGACTGATGAACAGGGACAGATCCAAAGACAGAGAAACAGCGATCAGACTATCAATCCCCAGAGGGAAAGTAGGGGAAGGTGTGGGTAAGGGGAAGAGATCAACCAAAGGACTCATATGCATGCATATAAGCCAAACCAATGGACACGGATAACAGGGGGATGAGAGCATGAGTTGGGGGGGAGGTAGGGGGTTAAAGGGGGGATGAACACACATTAGTAATACCTTAACCAATAAAGAAATTAAAAAAAAAAAGATGAAGCAAGTATCATGACTAGAAATGTGCTTTGAGGAGACAGGACTGTAACACATGGATAATAGTGGAAAAGATAAGAAACAGATTCAAGAGAACAATAAACAAGAGACTCAAGGTGGGAGGTAAAAAGAACCTGAAACAGAGCAGTAAATATAAAACAGAACCGATGTGAGAAAACTACATATAATGACTCCCTACTCTGTATTTAAAAATATAAAATGTATACCCTCAACCCATCTACTTTTTTTAAAAAATATATTTTATTGGTTTTTTACAGAGAAGAAGGGAGAGGGATAGAGAGTTAGAAACATTGATCAGCTGCCTCCTGCACACCCCCCACTGGGGATGTGCCCGCAGCCAAGGTACATGCCCTTGACTGGAATCGAACCCGGGACCCTTTAGTCCGCATGCTGACGCTCTATCCACTGAGCCAAACCGGTCAGGGCAACCCATCTACTCTTAACCACCTTTAATAGTGCATCTTTAGTCTAAGTCACTAACATTACTCAACTTAGAATACTGCAATAGATTCATTCCTACCTCCATCTTCACCCCAATATCACAGCAGCCAGAATTATATTTTCAGATATCACAATCCTGCTCAATATCCTCTAATGGCTTCCCATTGCAATTGGAATGAATTCCAAACTCCTATCTGTGGTCTGTAGGACTGCTTGTCTGGAATTTGAGTTTCTCTCAATGTCTCTACTTAAATCACTTGCTTCCAGCCATACCTGCCTTCCCTTTGTTCCCCTAAATACTGAGTTTATTTTAACTGAGGGACTTTGCACCAGCTGTTCCCTCTTCCTAGAATGTTCTTCCCCTAGATATTCACATGACTGGCTTTCAAAATTTGTTCACATCTCACCTCAAATGTCATTTTCTCAACAATGCCTTTTCTGATCACTGTTCCTAAAGCAGCCATCCCCTCTAGCTCTCCTATTACCCTTCTTTATTTCTTCACAGCAATTCCCTCCCTCTATAATTACCCTCAGTATGTATACATGATTATCTCACCCTCTACCCGCATGTGCTAAAAAGGATATCCTGTGATAGCAGGACCTTGTCTGTCTTTTGCACCACTCTGCCCCCCACCCACTCCAAAGGATCAGCCTGGAACAGTGTAGACATTCAATAAATAAACATTTAAAAAAACAAAATTCTTATCACAGATGCCAGTGACTGAGTAGCATCGTATAACATTCACTGAGCTGTACTTCCTTTTGTCTCCTATTGCATTATGAGCTCCCTTGCAGACTAAATTGAAAACCATGGATTTTAAATCACGTAGTGCCTTCTAGAGAGAATGTATTACCTAAAGTAGTAAAATTACTCAAGCTACTCAGCTTTTATGATTAGGCAATTTGGTGGCTTTACAATAAGACTGACAATCTTACCCTACAAACAAAGTTACTTGCCACAAGATACATACAGCGGTGACAAGGAAACTGAATATGGAGAGAGCCTTCTGGAAAAGAAGGTATGCAACCTCCCCACTTGTGCTATGGATTATAGGGCTTCCTAGCTGCTTTCCCTGAATCTTGGGTTTGCCAACTTAATTAAAATGTACCAGTGGAAATTAATTAACTTATATACATGCCATAAGAAAAATGCATAGAAAATATGAAACCAAATAGTTACAAGAACACAGCTTTCAAAAATAACACTTAATAATAGCAAAGCAAAAATGTTTGAGCTAAGTAACCAAAATGATGAAGAGACCCCCAAACCCACTTCCAGCTAGGTTTGGCTATATGCATTTTATTTCCCCCTCTGTTTGCCGTTTCTTTTAGCCAATCTGGCACACCTGGCCTCTGAGTGTGTGCTTCTGCCCTATGGCACAGGTCCTCCACTTCCATCTAATAATGGTATGAACACTATCATCCTTATTAGTCACTTCAAGCTGAAGCGGTCAATTTTTCTAAGATAACTGCCTAGCATCTGAAAGAAAGAGGTGCCTTTATTGCTGGGCTAGCAATATATACCTTGGATTTTGTTTTTAGAGACTTGTTTTACTGCCACTAATTACCTAGTTACTTAAATGACTAATGAGGAAACTTATTATTTTTGTTTTATTCACAAATGTTAATTGAATGCCTCCTGTGCGTCAACACAATGGCCTTCTACTTTCCAAGACGATTATGGGAGCATTGCACATAGCTACCCTACACCTCTGAGTGGAGCTTCCCTGTAAGTGGTTACTTCTGGTAACTGGATAACTCAAGCTCATCAAAATGATCCCAAATCTCTATTTCCAAACCAATACTATTGCCAGCTTTCTAAGATTTTGTTGTGCTCTGAACTCAAGATTCCTCTGAATTTTTGAAGCAAATTTCATTTGTTAAATATGTAAACAAGAGACTCAAGGTGGGAGGTAAAAAGAACCTGAAACAGAGCAGTAAATATAAAACAGAACCGATGTGAGAAAACTACATATAATGACTCCCTACTCTGTATTTAAAAATATAAAATGTATACCCTCAACCCATCTACTTTTTTAAAAAAATATATTTTATTGGTTTTTTACAGAGAAGAAGGGAGAGGGATAGAGAGTTAGAAACATCGATCAGCTGCCTCCTGCACACCCCCCACTGGGGATGTGCCCGCAGCCAAGGTAACCTTAAAAGTAGTCCATGTCATTTGATTATTCTGTTTGGATCTGGAAAGAGAGGAATAGCAGAGAACCAGAGGCCTTGACACTGTGACAAATCTAGTAGGAGTTGAACTAAGAGTAGGCAGACAGGCAAAGCTGCAGAAAGACTTGGAAGAAGGCCCCAGAGATACTCATGACTCTGTACACCTGGCTCATCCTAGACCCCAATGATTAAATCAAATTTACTAACATGTATGTGCTTTTTTATAGTTTAAAGTATAAACATATCTCATTTACTTCTATTACAAATATATTCATATAACAACACTATGAGGCGATTGCTATTTTCCTCATTTTATAGAAAAGGACACTCAGGAGAAAGACATTCATTGAAAGTAATTTGCTCAAGATTACATCATATGTTGCTATAACTTACCCTAGGATCTTCTTACACAAAATTCATGTACTTCTCACTACAGTACTTGACCCAGAAAAATGAGGTCAATGTATAAAAGGTATGGATATTGATTATATGCTAAATAAGAAACTGCTTTTTCACATGGTAAATACTGAGTAGACTGAGAGAAGAAATTGTTTCAAATCTCAATGGCTTTAAGAGGAAGGGAAATAAAGAGGGTAAAGTAATAGCAGTCATTTAAAAAAGTAATTTGGTTAGACAGGAATTCAAAGGTATAAAGCAAGAGATAAATCTTTCTAGCAATATCTGTATTATGAATACATAATACAACCTTAATCAGAAGCACATGACTTAAAATAATTGTTAAAAATTGAAAAAATGATTAAATATTATTTTAAGAGTATCAACATTATAAATATAATAATTTATTTTGAAAAATGGAACACAGAAATCTATATTTTAAGAATAGAAAATGATAGTTATTATCAAAACTTGGCCAAAATAACTTTGTTATTGACATAAGGCTCCTCAATAGATTTTGGATTTTGCTAAAACACAGAGGTAATACTAATTTTAATTATTGAAAGTAATTTATAAATAGTTCTACATACGTTCTTGTGACATCTTGTTCAATCATCGATCGGAGTTCTTTATCTTGGAAGAATTTATTCCAAAGACTCTAAAATAAAGAGAACAACCTATTTAAAATAACCTCACACCTTTGTTTGACTTTGATGACCTCAATTTAATAATTTAAATGATTAAATTTATCCTTCTTTGAGTTATCATTTCACATTGCAGGTAGGAAACCTGAAACTGGAGCAATTTTATTAAATTCTAGTTTACTTTCAGACACATCCTTATTCTAACACCAATTTTTCCAGAGATATTATTATATACTAGAGGCCCGGTGCACAAATTCGTGCACCCATGGGGTCCAGCGGGCCTGCTCCTATGGAGGCCGATTGGGGGTGGGGCCAGTGGGGGGAAGGGGACGCGGGAGGTTGGCCAGCTGGCCCCCGGCCTTATTGGGGTGGGGGGGGCAATCAGGGATAGCTGGCAGGGGGAGGGGCCACAGACTGTTGGCTGTCACCCCAACCCTGATCGGGGTGGGGAGCTGATTGAGCTGGATCAGCTGGTTGGTCACAGCAGTGCACATCATAGCGACTGGTCACTCTGCCATTCGGTTGCTGGGAGCATATATGTATATATGTTTAAATTATTTTCTGTTATCTATATAAAATGAACAATACTTTTACTACTATGTACCCGGTACTACCTCTAAACTATAAAAAGTTCTGCTTGGATTAGAGTAGGCCATAGCCCAACTGGTCCGACATGAACCTAACCTGAATTTCCAATGTTTTCTACAAAGTTTGGTCTTCTAATTTAATAGTTTTTTGTTGTTGTTAATCCTCACCTGAGGATCTTTTTTCCATTGACTTTTAGAGAGAGATTGGAAAGGAGGGAGTAGGGATGAAGAGAGAGGAAGAGGGAAACACTGATGTGAGAGAGAGACATTGATTGGCTACCTCCCACATGTCTCCTGACTGGGGCTGGAAATGAACCTGCAATCCTTCAGTGCAAGGGACAATGCTGTAACCACTTAGCCCCACCAGACAGGACCCAATTGAATAGATTTTTATGTACTTCTTAAAATGTGACTTTATGTAAAGTTTTAAAATTTACTTAACAATATTTTATGCTGCTATACCATAGACTAAATTATAATATTTACTAGAGGCCTGGTGCATGAAATTTGTGCACGGGTATGTTCTCTAGGCCGAGCCAGTGATCAGGGCCATTCGGGACCTTCCTTCCCCGCTGCTGGCTGCCGGCCGGGGCCTTCCCTCATTCTGAGCCAGCCTGATCAACGTCTAATTGCTCCCCTGCCAGCCCGACTGCCCCCAACTGCCCTCCCCTGCTGGCCCGGTCACCCCTAACTTCCCTCCCTTGCCAGCCTGGTCACCCCTAACTGCCCTCCCTTGCCAGCCCGACTGCCCCTAACTGCCCTCCCCTGCCAGCCTGGTCATCCCCAACTGCTCTCCCCTTCAGGCCTGGTCACCCACAACTGCCCTTCCTTGCAGGCCTGGTCACCCCCAACTACCCTCCCCTGCTGGCCATCTTGTGTCCACATGGGGGTGGCCATCTTGTGTGTTGGAGTGATGGTCAATTTGCATATTACTCTTTTATTAGATAGGATAGATATGTATCAGGGGAAAATGCTAATGTTACATATTAACTAGAAAAAATATTTCTATTAGTATGAACCTAGGAATTACAACAGTAATTAAAGAAATTATACAACACTTATAAAGAAGTAATTATTCCTAGTCTTCACGAGAATATGAGTGGAGGTAGGTCTAACCTTTTCCCTATCTTTAAAAACTTCTTCATGGAATCACTACAAATAGTTTCTTTTCTTCCTCTGACTTAGTCCTACAAAGTGAACCCTTCTCTATTTCTATCATACAGAGTAGCTTTCCTACTGCTCCCTACGGCACCCTTGATAAAACAGTTCCATCCTCATCTTTTTACTCTTCTAGCTCATCCTTAGTTCTTAAAGACCCCCTTGGGACTTCTCCTTTGTAGTGGCATTCCACAGATATGGATCATACACTTCTTCCAACACAGTATATAGATAAGAAAATTTCCATGAGGTTTTAGGTAGTATGTGGGTGTGAAAAAAAATAGTTGGTATGAAATAACTCTGCTTTTGTGGTAACTGATAACCAGTATGATAAACACGTGCTTATGGGCAAAAGAAGTTGCGATAGGAATAAACGCGAATTTTACCCCTTCATCCTGTGAAAGGGGATTATTGATCATCAGGTCTTGCTGGCCAACGACCTTCCGTGGGTTGGTGATGTGCTAGGGAAGAAAGAAAGAAAACAAGAGATCAGAGGCCACTGGACTTTAAAGCACACATGTGAAAACAATTATATTAATTAAAATGCAACTTACTGTTTCTTTGATGTTGCTATACCATGCTCTTAATTCTTTAATTTTACTTATCCACTGATTTTTATCTTGAGGAAGAACACAAAGAAATAGCTGTCAAGAAGAAAAAAAACTTTTATAAAAATCATAAGTAAAGTGTGAAACTATGCCAAAGAGAATCACCTGAAAATTAAGATATTCATATTCCTGGCATTTCATATTTCTATCATCATTCTAGTTCTCAATAAGTTTGGAAATATTTAAGAAATATATATTTGGATAATTCCAAATGTCAACAAAGGCCACCCTCCCCCCTAAGATCTCAAAAGCTACACCACAAAATGGAAGCAACCTTCTCTCCATATATATATTAATAATGAACAAAAAAATTCACTGAGATTCAAGTGTGGTTCCAATTTTACAGTCCTAAATTGCTATGCCAGTGAAATGGAGAAGTACTGTTTGGGGTAAGAGAGGACATTAACAGGCATAAGGTCCAGTTAGTAATTTCAAGGTTTAAGATTTGTCTTGAATGAAGCAGGTAGAGGACAGACTAGAGCAATCTGAGGACACAACCTGAGAAGTGAAGTCATTCCTTTCACAGCAGAACATTCAATTTACAACCAGCAATCAGTTTATGAAAATAACAAGCATTCTTAAAAAGACAAATTTGATTTAATTTAGCTTAATACATTAAAATAAATCTGGATTTGAGTTTATTTTCCACAAATGAATGATACTAAAAGTTAAACAACAAAGAATGGAGGGGAGAGGAGGCACAAATATTTGTATACAAATATTTCATCAGCAGGTCTCCTGCCTTCACTGCCTGCATCTAACAGAAGAAAAATGTATTTTAATTATTAAATCTAAATTATTAAATCTAAAACTGTCCAATACATCATGTTTCCTTACTGTCTGTACTTGCAGACTCCGAATGCTCAATTCATGCAGATCTACCCTAAAAAACTTCCAATAAAAGTCATTTTAGAAATGAGACTAAAACTAAATTCATTTTGAGTAGAAAAAGGGACAGTATTTCCAAGCAACTAAAATGATAACTGTGGATTATTACTATTACCAGTTTTGGTAACCAATGGCCTTTCTAAAGAGATTGACCTAATTCCCTTCCACTTCTTCTTGCTGCCCTACATTTTGTGTGTCCAGTCAAAGAAATATAAAAAAATCTTTCCTATATGCTATTTATGAAGAGAAAAGAAAGGATGGATAAATGATGGCACTAGATATAATAGGAATCTGAAAGTAAATCCCCCCTCTGCCCCTGCCCCGCTTCAACAGTTTCTGCAGCGGCTGGGGCATGTTAAGGTGTTGCTTTGAATTCTGCACCATCAAATGAGATGAAAAAGCTGTTATTTCAAATGACTCCTTTACCATCACCAATTATTCAGAACTAAGGTAGTTCAACCTTATTAGTAAATGTTCTATGAAAGATAAGCATGGATGGCCAAAAAAAGTCTAGAGTGCAGCTCCTGGAAAATTCAGTGATCCCCCGAATGGGTAATCTTCCAGGGCATCAGGTAATGTGTTGATATACTGCAACTGCAAACTGTAAATAAATATTTTCTTCTTACCTTCCAGCAAATGCTGCGGAACCTGCTGCTTCTCAGCTGCCCATTAATCCCCTTCTGCCTTATTGTTGCCAAATAATTGTTGTTTACAAAGAGTTCCTCCCATTCTTTCCTATATGCAAGGAACCAAAGCATGGAGAAGCTTCTGTTAAAATTCTTCTGCTTGGAGAGGAGTGCTACAGGAAATTAATTTTAAATAAGTCTAAGAAATGCAACTTTTAAGACGTATATATTTAGTTGTGCACTGTTTCTGAACGCATGGCTGTCTTTTTGGACAGAGTTCTTCTGTAGATTTAATGAATATGTAGATAGCTATAATTATGCCAGCTACTGAAATTCATAATGTCTATGGAGGCTATTTCATTTCCTCTAAAATGTTGGTAGTGCAGTTCAGTGAATAGACAAGACAAAAAATGAATATTAGCATAAGCTTATGACTGCTTTAGCCATTGACAAAGATATACGTGCTCCAAAAACACACAATAAAAAGGTGCATTGTTGATTACATTGGCTTCTCACATGAAATATCTGTTGGAATGAACCCATTTCTCTTCAATGTCAGGCTGGCAGGTAGATATACCAGAAGACTGCTTTCTTTTACTTTTTAGTGCTATTTTCTATTGAAATCTCTGCTACTTCTTTCTACATGATCTGTTTTAAAATTTTAACAGGTGCAGCAAATTTGAAAAAAATAAACATCAAAAAATTAAAAAGCCTCACTGTAAAAACTGTTAAAGGCAAGCTTGAGTACCTTGCAGTACCTATGGCTGAGTAGATAAACAACTGAAATATGCCTCCCAGGCACACAGACACCAGGGGCCTAACACCTGTGCCTCATTAATATACAAGTAAATCTGCTCTACTGGGAAACAATTGGAAATTAATTGTCCCAAACCACTTACTGAGTTTGAATAAAGGAAGTAGACTTATATTCCCAGCATCTTATACCAAACTAAACATCAAGAAACATTCGTCAACAGTTGAGGCAACCGAGTACAGCTTTATGAAATCTCTCTCAGATATAAAAATGCCACAAGAAATGTGTAATTTGAAATTTTTTAATCAAAGCTAAAAGCCTGGCAATCTCTTCAGAGACTTACTCAAAAGAAAGCCTCTGAAACCCTCAATCATCCTTCCCCACACACATGCAGCTGCCACTGACCAGACCTGACTTATCTTGAGAAAGGCCCGTCTTGCACGCTATGGTATCTGACACTCAACTGTACATGTGGAGTTAAAAAACCAGACTGTGGAGCAAGCGCATCTTCTCCACAGTTTTCCAGAAGAGTTACCAGGGCAATGGCACATTCCCATGGCCTGGTGCAGGAGAATCTCCAGCCTCAGCCTGCAGCACTGCCCCCTGTCCCACCAAGCCTTCTGCCTTGTGGGTAAGTATCCCGAGTGGGACACACACCCCACCATGCAAACTTCTACCACCACTCCATGCGAACTTTCTACTTTCATCACTCTATTCGTAAGAGAGCTAATATTTCATTTTTATTTTTATTTGATTTTATATCATTAATGAAACTGATATTTTCTCATGCTTTTTAGGTCATTTTATATCTCTTCTTTTTACAACTTCCTTTCTTGTCCTTTGCCTATGTTAAGATGTATAGGATAGTGGTTAAGAAAACAGACATCAGAACCACACTCCTGGGATCAGAAAAACAGCCAATGTACTAGCTACTTAACTAGCTATGCAAGCATGAGCAAGCTACTTAACCTCCTTGTGTCTCTGTTTCATCATCTGTAAAATGAAATAATAATAGTATCATCTCCCTCAAAGAATTACTATGAGGATTTAACTGTATGACAGACCCTCAGAAGTGTGCAGCATATATCATAACATTCACAAAATAGTATTTGTTAATAATGTTATAATGCTTTTATTATAGTAGGCCTTATCACAGGTCTGAGAGAGCTTTTCATACATTAAAGACATTACACCTTTCCTGCCATCTATATGTATTTTTAACCCAATCCTCTTGATTGTTCTACACCCTGAAGCTTTTTAATTTGTATATAATATAAACCTAACATTAATTTATCTTGATGATCTTTCCATTATTTTTACGCTGAAGTAGTTCTTAGCCACTCCACTCCACGTTCAAAGAAATAGTCACTGAGATCTTATGGTTTTAAAAATCACTTTAGTCCATTTGCGTTACCTGTAGTATTTTAAATACATTATCTATTTTCCAACAATATCACATACATTATGCACCTCTTACTGTTCAAGTTTTGTTTTTATCCAGGTTTTAATAATACTCAAAGACGAGATCAGCAATGAGTACAAAGAACATTACAGGAGTATATCTCAGAAACTGTACATTCATATAGCTTGTGGTCTGTAAACAAAAAGTGCAGATTTCAAATGTATTTTAAACCCAAGAGGAATCAGAACTCGTGAGAGATGATGCAGTTCCATGGCCTGAAAACACTGATGCATTCTAGATCAGAGACGGAAGTGTGAGGCAATGATTCCCTAGCTCTTGAAAAATCAGCTTCTATTCAAAGGTACCAGATATTGTGAAAGTAGACACAGCTGGTGGCTGGATTCATTGCCATCTTATGAAGTAAGCAGCCTTTTAAGGTCAAGTTACATACTACTTATGTAATGAAGGATAATCATTTGTTAGCTTAAATAAGATCCTGTGCCTTGATTACAGGGTTGGCAAAGAGAAAAGGAGACTGAGGCATATGAAATGGAAACACTATCCCTGAAATTCACAATCATTTAAATTTATTCATGGGTACTTATAGTTCCAATTAAGGTTTAACATCTCAAACTGATGAAGAGCTCTAACAACAGAGCAACATAAAGCCACAAGATAGCCTATTAATTGTCTTTCTCTCCTCTGGAATAGTGTTTTGTTAATAAACTGTGATACAGAGTATACATAATAAACATTTAGTGCCTACCATGTGCTTAACACTCAGATATATATTTTTTTAAAGCATAAAGAGAATAGATGTATACGCAAACCAATAATGATGTGATTAAGACAAAGTACTCTGGTAATACAAAGGAGGGAAGAATAGTTTTATATCTAAAAATTAACACTCAGTATAGAAAATAATAAATAGTAGCATGGGCATGCAGCACCATGTTGGATGAGATGCTTCATCCAACAGCTGAGCTGTCAGAGGTTTGACAGACCTTCAAGGGCAAAATGTTGAAAAGTTTAGCCCTTTGAGGGGAGCTGGACTACCGGACTTGGGAAAAGAAGAGTAAGTACTGAGGAGCCTGAGGTGGAACTTTTCAGTTTAATTAACAAAAAATAAAAGATAGTTGCTAAACTCTGTCATATACCATTAGTATATATACTGTTGCTGTAATAGCAAAAATCTGGCAATGATGTTATTAAAATGCTTAAAATCCACCTATGTCATAATATATAAGATTTTAGATATATCACCTTTTTAAAAATCATCACCTGAGGATATGTTTTTATTGATTTTTAGAGAGGAAGAGAGAGAGAAACATCAACTGGTTGCCTCCCATAGGTGCCCTGACAGGGGATCAAACCTGAGACCTTTTGGTGAATGGGACAATACTCCAACCAACTTAGACACCCAGCCAGGGCTAGATATTATCACTTTTAACCTCTAAACAACCCTCCTAGGGTAACTATATTTAATCCTCTTTATAAATGAGAAAACTAAGACTCAGAAAAATCAAGTATGTTGTCAATAGAAAAAAGGAATGAGAATTAGCTTGAGCATCTTCCTGGAATAACATGGAAAACACTACTACAGGGAACATGTTACTCCAGATATCCAAGACAAAAATTGCCCCTGGCAACAAGGCAAGGTATTAGTGTGCCCTTATACTTTCTTCCTTAGATTTTTAGTTTTTGAACATCAAATACAAGGGTATAGAGAAAAGTTGTCACCAGTTGGAGTGAGAAGGTAAGTCAACAACTGCTGTGGGTGGTTATGGACTTCCAAGAACATTTAGATTGGTAAAAGCCTCAAATGGAACAGATGCAGTGGTTCTCAACCTTCCTAATGCCGCGACCCTTTAATACAGTTCCTCATGTTGTGGTGACCCCCAACCATAAAATTGTTTTCGTTGCTACTTCATAACTGTAATTTTGCTACTGTTATGAATCGTAATGTAAATATCTGATATGCTATATGTGTTTTCCAATGGTCGCGACCCACAGGTTGAGAACTGCTGGGCCATTAGAGACTTGGGCCTTGAGGACTCTCTTGACATAGCACTAGTGCCATCTAGTGGCAATTACTCTGCCTTGCAGGCACTGGGTCCCTGAAAACATAACCAGCATCTCAGCAGAGAGAGGCAGAGATAAGCTTGTTTCCTTTCTCATGCCAATGTTAATGAATTAGTAGTGGCTGCCTTGGAAGCATTGTGTTGAGAAGGATTTTGAGCCTACCTCTGTCCTCCTCAAGAACTTTGTTACTAATTAAAAATGTTGGCCATGATCATTTGGCTGCTATCATTTCTAAGTAAATGAAATCAACTTCTGCAGCAGCAGTTGCTGCCTTCCCTCTAAGACCAACTTAGGTAGTTAAACCTCCTGCAATAGTTTTTTTAAACATGGGGATCAACTTGAGTATGCAGAGAATAAAAATACAGCTGATGATCATAAGGTACTATTTCTAATTATGTATTTTAAGGTAGCATTTTCCCAAGCTTTGAACATAAAATTAATATGAAACTAGTTAAAGCCTCCCAAATATAATTATTTAAATACTTCTGTAACCTAAATAATGCATAAGTGACTTAATTATGTGGCAATTCTGGACTAGAAAATTTCTGAATTGTCCCAAATGGCGATAACGCTAGAGAATACATTTTATACTGTATATTTTATATGACGGCTTCTACTCCATTTTCGGGCATTATTTGGACAAGGGAGAATGTCTCTACGGGGCTCAAATGACTACAATAATTGAAAGAGCTCAGAGACTACATAGAGCAGTGGTTCTCAACCTTCCTAACGGTGCAACCCTTTAATACAGTTTCTCATGTTGTGGTGACCCCCAACCATAAAATTATTTTCGTTGCTACTTCATAACTGTAATTTTGCTACTGTTATGAATCGTAATGTAAATATCTGATATGCAGGATGTATTTTCATT